ACTATTATTGATAACAATATTAATACAAATATACAAAAATGGTTTATACAAAATTACTCTATTCTTTCATCTTTTAATTAACTTTTATTTCTAAATTCAAGGTTTTTCTTCTTCCTTTTCTTTAATTAGTAGTAGTTTTTTCTAAATTAACTTAAACTAGTTTATAAATAGAAAATTGAAGGTAATATGTTTCACTAACTAGTGCATATATAGAAATTATAATAGTAGTTTAGACTTAATATCACCTTGATATTTACTATGTAAACTATTACTTTCTATATTTAACATATTAAATAAATAAATAAAAAAAATAATAATAATACTAATAGTAAATAATAAATAATGTATAATAAATAATAATAAAATTTTATAAAATAATTTATCTGTTCTATCAATTTTAATATTATAAAAATATAATAATATAGTAATATAATTCGTACACAAAATTAATAATTGATAACAATATTAGTAAAGAATTGGAATAATTATTATAATATTTATAATAATATTTATAAATTTAAAAGTTATTTATAATTCATAATCATGATCATAATGATTACAGTAACTGCATATAGTTTGTGATTTGTTAGCAATAATTAAAAGTAACAAAATTTATTTTATACATAAAACATTGAGTTATTTTTTTTTTTTATCTTAAAAAAAAAAAATTAAAAAAAAAAAAGAATCTAATAACTATAAATATAGCAATATATATGAACAAAATAATAAAATTTGCACTTTTCTTCAAAAAAAATAATAAAAACAATAAGCTTTTATAACTACAGTATAAACAATATTTATCATTAAAATAAAATGACTACAAATAGTATTAATAATATTCATAATAATAATTACTATTAGTAGAAAATACTATCAGATATGTATGAAAATTGTCAAATACATGAATATATGCCTAAATAGAGAATACTATGTTCTACCTGCAGAACACAACTTCTTCTATCAGAAAGAAAAAATTTTTGTTGTAATTTCAAAATAAGAAACTTAATACTACCTTTACACCTATTACCACTTCTTTTACAAGATCTTTATATATCTAATTTATAAGAAAATTTTAGTTATCTTAGTTATCAATATAATTCTTTATTTTTATTTATAACACTTGGTTATACAGGTAATGTAGCTCACTTATCACATCCTTATATATTTACTATTAATAGTTATATGTATTACTAAATTTACTCTGCTAATACAATAGGATATTGATAAATTGGTTTATATATAATACAAATACACAAAATAATATAGTAAAACAATGCAAACTTGATCAAGAGATTGTTAATTTAATAGAACAAGAGTTAACTACTATCAATCTGTTTATTTAAGGTTTATATCAATTATATGATACAAATTATCTACAAGCTAGATTAGTAATTCAACAACCAATAGTGAATAATAAAATTGTAGCTTATACAATTGTTCATTCAACAGCAATAGTACAAAAAAGATGTATTCAAATATAGTGTATTAATGAGAATATACTAGAATATATTAATATTCTAAATAAATACTATAAAGCACTACAGTACCTACTTTTTTTCTCTTATAGAGATATCAGATAGCATATGTACTAGATAAATAATAAAAATTCTACTAGACAAAAAATTTTGCAAGTTGATTATTATCATTATCGAATTATGAATGAACTCCAATTTTATTTACTTAGTCGACTATTTAATGAATATTTAGTAGATATGTTTAGTAAAGCAGAAGATGAAAGATTACAATTTATATATAAAGAAGAATATAGATTTAGAAAAGGAGGTCAAGAAGAAGATGAATTATTAAGAGATAAAGCAGAATTACACCTAGAGAGTATTTACTTATCAGCTTCTTATATACTTTTATTTAGATAGTCATATAAACAAACAATAGATGCTTTTGCAATTGTAAGTAAACTTGGATGTCTAATACTATTTATTATATTTATAATGAATCCAAATTAGCTAGAAATCTAACAACAATTATGTAATAGCCAAAACTATGCAGACTGATCTGATATTGTAATCAGAGTATTTAAACAATACTTAACATATCTACAAAAATTATTTAAAATATATTTTAGCAAAATAATTTATTACATGCATGCTCTAGAATTTCAAAAGCATGGTTTACTACATGTATATATAATAATTAAGTCAACACCAAACTTAATTCAACCTGAAAATATTGATAAAATAATAAATGCAGAAATACCTATAGATAATAATATTCAGCATAATCATCTTCATAAATTAGTAAACCAATTTATGATCTACTAATATATTCAAAGATGTATACAATATAATAAATACCATTAAAATTACTCTCAGCCTATACAAGAAAATACTATAATTAATGAACTGGAATATATTTGTTATAGGTATTATACTGAAGATGATATTAATATTGTACCTTATAATACTATTCTACTATTAAAATTAAATTCATATATAAATGTGGAAGTAGCTTCTACTTCTCATGTAATTTCTTACTTATACAAATATATTTACAAAAGATCAGATTGTGTAATAGTCAATATTTATATAAAAGAAAATGAATCTAAAATCATTGATAAAATCAATGACTATATTAATGCATATTACCTTTCTGCTATAGAAGTAGCTTAGCGAATTTTTAAATATAAGATAACTTCACAATTATTATCAGTAACATGTTTACTAGTTTATTTACCTAACAAACAAATTATTATACGTGGCAATAATAGCAATAATCTTTCAATGCTATAATGCTATTTTTTTTGACTAATAAACCCAGAATTTGAAAACCTTAAATATTGTAAATATAACAAATTATATAACTTTAAATATATTGAACAATCATATAACCAAAATTTATTACCTTTAGATACTTATTTAGAAAAAAACTTGAAGGATATTGTTAATGTATTGTAAACTATATAAACAAAACTATATACATATAATATGAATGAATATAATTCACCTATCAGTAGATAAAAAGTATTATCTATGTATGCTTTTGAACTATCATGTAGCTTGATCTTTTGAAGATTTATAATTAATAAATAGAGTTTTATATACTATATTTCAAGATGCAGCATATGCTTTAGGTTTATTAGAAAATATAACAGAACAAGAGCAATACTTTAATGAAGCTATATCTTATAACTGTATACTAGTACAACTCTACTTATTATTTTGCTATCTTATTATAAAAGGTATAGCTGCTCAAACAGTATGACAAAATCATCATGAACTATTATTTGCTGACTATATAAGCAAAAAAGAAAATATACAAGAAGGAGAAAATAAAACTTTAATATAGATTACTAATTTTCTAGAAGAACATGGCATCAAAATAATACAAACAGACTTACCTCAACTACTAAACTACCTATCAGAAATAATGCATATCAAAATACAATATAATAGCTATAAAGAATTGACTACAAAATGAGAAGAAATAGTTCATAAATTAAATTCTGAACAAAAAGTAATATATTAAAAAATCTTAAATTATATAAATAAAAATATACCTTTGATAGTTTTTATTAATAGTCATGCAGATTATGATAAAATATTTTTAATAAATATTATCTGTATTACAGCAAGAAGTTTAAAAAAAATAATACTTCCTTGTGCATCAACTAGACTAGCTGCACTCAATTATGATAAAGGCTACATAGCACATTCATTATTTCATATTCTAATAAAATATAATAAAGATAGATACAAATATCAGATTAAATCAAATAGTGAACTTGCAAAACTAATTAAAGAAATATCAGTAATAACCTGGAATGAATTATCTATGGCACAAAAGGATAATATCAAAGTAGTAAATATACTTTTATGTAAACTTTGTGATAACAACTTACCCTTTAGTAGAAAAATTTTTATTAGAATAAAAGATTTTTGCCAAGTTGCTCTTGTAGTTCTAAATACTAAAAAAACAGCTACAATATTAGAATCAATTAAATTATCTACAATCTGAAACTCATATAAAGTTTATAACCTTCAATAACTAATTCGAGAAGCTAATGATCCTGAATATTTCTAACTTATAGATAATATAGATGATAGTGTAAATAGTGAAAATATACTTTTACCATTAATAAACATAACATATGAATTAAATAAAGCTATTGATTTTGCTTTTCTAATAAATATATTAAATGATCTAGTCACATACCTAAAATGAGCTATACTTTCTATATTAAATATAGAAGTAAACTCTATCAATAATACAATTTTACGGGGTATAATTTAAAAACTCTTACCATAGATCACTTGTACCAAAACTCCCAAAAAACATTTTGTCATAACTAAA